ACGCGTCCTAGGGTTGGAGCACGACCCCAACACCCTAGTGATCATCCTTCCACCTTCATATACCCCTTAGTCGCCACCAAGAACAGTTGGGTTTTGTTTTGTTGAAAGTTTAGCCATTGCTACTTCCTTGTAGACGCGTGTGTCGACTGGACCATCCGTTCTACTCGATTCAGAACCCCAACTTTGTGACTTGGATTGGTTTTTCATCTCCATATTTGCAATTGAGTTGCTTGTTCTACTGGTTCTTGCTTGTTCCTCGATTGCTTGCAGGAATTACCCTAGTGGTTTGGTTGATCGTGCTCCACAAGATCACGACGCCATTGGAGGTGGTGTATCGGTTGCTAAGGCGCAGCATCCTTGAATGGTTGTAGTCGGGCCATGAACGTCATCTCCATCCCCAAATCGAGTTATCCACCTTCTCTCATCGAAAGATCGGGATTCACCCTAGCGGGATCATACCAGTTGGTAACCAGAGCAAGGTTTATCGGTGAGAGACTTCGAATACTTCGCTGTTTTTAATTTTTCCTATAGTCCAGAAAAGCAAAAAAATAGTAGATTAGTTTACCCACAATCCTATAAACCCTTTGAGCCTTTGCTAGCACTGCTTAATTAGGGCTTGTTGAGTTTTTGGTTGCATCGGTTGTGTCGAGTTCTTTGGTCTTAGTTTTAGTCCTTTAGAGTTTGAGTTCTTGTCACGTTCTAGTCCTGTACCGTGTGCTACCATATAAACCTACATTGGTTGAATCCGAATACATCCTTGTGTGTTCAAGTTTGAGTAGGAATCTAAGTTTGTTTTGAGACCGAATCCCATGTGGTGTTGAAGTTCGAGTTGGAATCGGTTTTGAGTCCGAATTGATAGCTGTCTTGTTACTGTTTTGAGTCCGAATCTGAGTACATCTTTGTGCAGCAGTAGTTCATATCTATACTCAACTTCTCCACGTCCAACATATCCATATTAGCTCAGCTCACTCTAGAGTTCTAATCTTGTTAAAGACCGAGTTGGAATCGTTGTGGACTCTGAATTGGTTATTGCGGCGTGTTATTAAATCTTGTTGCTTTTTGCACTTGTGCTACATATATTGAAGTGTTCCAGAAAGGCAGCAGAAGTCCATACTTGTACTCGACTCCTCCACATTGTGCATACATATTGGCTTGGTTTTACTTCTGAGAGAGATAAAAGAAAAGAAAGAAAAAAAAGAAAAGAAAGAAAGAAAAAGAAAAAAAGGGGCTGTTCGTTGTGAGAGAGAGAGAAAAGAAAAGAAATAAAGAAAAAGAAAAGAAAAGAAAAGAAAAGGAAGAAAAGGGGTTGTTCGTTGTGCTTCTCCATTGTTTTCGGTGGTGTGTTGTGACTTCCTTTGTGTCCAGGCTCGCGCCTCTAGCACGGTCTAGGCTAGGACTAGCACAATACTGCCGTTGAACGATTATTCAGCTTGCTTTTGTGACTAACATGGTGCTAGTACTTCCTTGCTTCAGCCCACCTATAGCTCCACATATTTCAACTACAGCTTGACAGGTGTTGTTGTTGCGGCACCGATGCACTTCATTCCACGGTTGCAGACTTGTTGGTTGCCGTCACCTCCTGTTTGGCTTGGTAAGAACTTGTAAGGGCTTGTTTTAACAAGTTGAGTTTGAGAGAATTACAACCGACACATGCTAGTAGTTGATAGGAGGATACATATTATTTTTGTGTTTCTTGTTTTCTACTAATCATGGCAGGTGATATGGAGATTTTTGAGCTGTTGAAACTAGACCCTCATATTTAGGATGTCATTCAACACTTGCCGTTATATGATGGTAAGTTTGATCCTCAAGCTTACATTGATTGGGAGTTAAAAGTAGATAATGAATTTGATGAGCATGACCTGTCCGAGAAACAAAAGATTTGTATTGCCTCTAATGTTTTGACTGAATTTGCTTTGCTAGAATGGAAACACATTTGTAGGCACAACAAAGTTCCAGAATCTTGGGAAGACTTCAAATTTCTTTTTAGAGATGCATTCGTTCCTGCATATTATGCTGATTATTTGCTTGTAAAATTAGACAACTTGAAGCAAGATAGTAGGACTGTAAAAGCATACTACCATGATTTTAAGATTTTCATCATGTTTGGTGGATTAGATGAATGCATGGAAGATGTTATGAGTAGGTTCATGAGAGGGCTCAATTCTGAAATTCAAACCTTGTTAATTAGCAAGTCTTATAGCCATATTGGTCAATTGTTTTGTCTTGCTCTCAATGCTGAAAAGGAGATTCTATTATCTGTGAATACTTGTAAGAATGATGTGACCCATAATGTCCAAAATTTGTCCACTCTGCATGCTAATGAAGAGCAACAAATAGTGGAACCCACTACTGATTTTCCTTTGTCACAAAATGAATTACTTGCTGTTCCTTGTGATAAAGAAGAGTTGTGTGCTGATGATTCTTTTACTCCTATGACACAAGTAGCGAATAAGTGTGATACTTTTGGTTTGGAACCATACAAATATGCTGAAGATAAGCTTTTTGATCCTATTACATATGCACAAGATGAACTGAATTTGCTATCATCTTTAAATATTTTGGGTTATATTGAATTTGATATTCTGTGTAATCTAAATTGTCTAAAAGAGAAACTTAAATTTGATTCTGGTTTGCCAAGTTTTAATCATTGTTTGATTCATGCAATTGGCAAATATGACAGCAAAGGAGAATATTTGGTGCATAAAGTTTATATTTGCTCTAATATGAAATATCCTTTTGGGCCACAATACCATGATCAAATTGAGGGCTGCACTAACACTAATGATGTATTGTAAAGTTTTCTTAGTTTTTCCCATATGCAACAGGATAAATATCAAGAAGGGGAGCACGGATCACTTTTACCTACAACACATCCTCCAACAAAGGTCAAACCGAGGACGGTTTGCTGTCAAGAAGGAGAGAATGATGAGGACATCATTGGCTCAAATATGACCATGCCAACCACTTCTATACTAAAGGTGCAACCATTCTATATGAGGCTTATCATTGATGCATTTGATGAATTGGTGCTCCACCATAAAATGTGTATATTTTTATTTTCAGAATTACTTACATGGATCAAGTGAAGGTTTGATTGCATATGAAAAGCATGGAAGGTTAATGAAGTTGATTGGGGACCAAATCCAAATATTCCCAACGTCCTCCACCTGGACACCACGTCACTTTTGGTCCAAGGAAAGAAAGAGATCAAATCCAACACGTTTTGGGGCTGGATTCGGACTCTAGGACAGCTTCAACTTGTGATGTTCACCACGGTCGCATACGGACTCGGATTGGGGCGTTCAAGTACTTCATGGAATCCTTATGAAGTCTATTTTCACATGGATCTGGAATCAAGTCCATATCTGTTCTGAGGCGACCGCAATGACCGAATTACTACCGAGAGGTTTTCTGTTCAAAAGTGCTACGTCGCCTTAGTTTGGTCCAATAGGTCGTGTATCAAGTTGGGTCCATTAGGGACGCGTCCTAGGGTTGGAGCATGACCCCAACACCCTAGTGGTTATCCTTCCACCTTCATATACCCCTTAGCCGCCACCAAGAACAGTTGAGTTTTGTTTTGTTGAAAGTTTAGCCATTGCTACTTCCTTGTATCCAGCCCCAAAACGTGTTGGATTTGATCTCTTTCTTTCCTTGGACCAAAAGTGACGTGGTGTCCAGGTGGAGGACGTTGGGAATACTTGGATTTGGTCCCCAATCAACTTCATTAACCTTCCATGCTTTCCATATGCAATCAAACATTCCCTTGATCCATGTAAGTAATTCTAAAAATAAAAATATACACATTTTATGGTGGAGCACCAATTCATCAAATGCATCAATGATAAGCCTCATATAGAATGGTTGCACCTTTAGTATAGAAGTGGTTGGCATGGTCATATTTGAGTCAATGATGTCCTCATCATTGCGTCCAGCTTGATTTCTATTTTTGTGCTTGGACTCTGCTTGATATCTTGGGTCTTCTTTTGTGCTTATAGGGTCTTGCTGATGGTGTTATCGTCGGATCATCATATCACGTTCGTCCAAGTCACGTCTTGCACCCTATTGAACTACAAAACAATTACTTACAAATTTATTAGTCCAATTTAGTTGTGTTGGTCATCAACACCAAAATCAAGTAAATGGGTTTAAGATCCATTTTCCTTACACATAGCAAAATGATGTACCAAAAAAGTCTAAGCGAATTGTAATTTGAAACGGAGGAAGTACCTTTAGGAAAGATAGATACCGTGGAGCAAATTGATCGGTCTGAGGTCTAAACCTTGTTTAACATAAATCTTCAGATTTGAGGCAAGTTGCGAAGGTTAATGGGGCCAAGCTAAACGAGCCGAGGCAGCAATTCCTATTTAGAACTATACATACGCGTGACTGTTACGATGAATGTTTACACCATACGCAGCAGGTGCATCCAAAGACTCGTCACTTTGCAACTACCACCCACACAAACGTTAACACGTTGCTGGTACGTTTGATTCGGCGCGTGTTAAGGACCGAAGGAGCCCACCAAGCAACATGGAAGTGCACTGCAACTGTCCTGCTGGCAGCACTGCTGCTACGCTTTTGATTAGTGGTTTAGGTCTAATCATGTCAGACGTGATTCGGAAATGAGGCCACAGTGCTAGCAACGGCAGCATATAGATGATAGAACCCAGCAAGATACTTTTCCAGAACGAGATGAGAGGAGGTGATGCCACTTCAAACTGCACCGGAACTACATAAGCAAATGATAGTATAGAAGTTACCCTTGTTGCAGTAAAACTCAAACCATTGCAAGAAAACAAAAATCTGATATTCATTTAAAAAAATCTACAGCTAGCAATACCACTATTTAGGGAGTTACACAAATCTGGACTAGTTTAGACCTCAGGCCACATAAGTTAGGGCTAAGTGCTACAATTGATCAAATCTTCGCAACCTTGTCTATTCAAGAAAGTGGCAGATTGAGCTTATAGAAGCATCACCGCAGATGGCAGTTAACATCAAACTCTCTTCACGTTGTCTCCATGGATAATCACTGCACCTTCAGTCATCAGAGTGCCAAGAGCACCGCGGAGCTGCAACAAGAATACCACAACACTTCAGCGAATGCAACCTACAAAGATAATCAGAAGAGACTGTGCAAGCTACAGTTTCAGACTTACTTCGTGCAGATGAATTTCCATTGAGCTCTGCTTCCTCAGTTCTTCCAGCAACTGCGCACCAATCAGAATGAATACTTAGCTCACTGCTGGGGCAACTAATGATGAAAACAAGGAAAGAGGCAGCAACCCAAAGATGTTTCTTTACCTCAATCATTCGCATTGAGGGGCCTCCAAGCTGCATTTTCTCCACGATAAGGTTACGGGTTGCAGCAACAAGGTTCTCCCGTCTCTGCCTTTCACTTGCAGATATCCCCGTCATGATTAGATCCATATCAATCGTCCCTTTTTATCATTCATAGACACCATCAGCACAATGGTTGCAAAGTGAAAAAGAAAGGATGAACAAAGTCAAGCCAAGTGAATCTGACCAGTTGCATGATCCGTTGCAGACTGCTGCATGGCAACTTCAAGAAGCCTGAAGGCCTCCACGACATCTCGCACCTCGACCTTCAGGCAGCAAGAGCCAAATTATCAGTCACAAGAACTACAAATGGTCATAAAACTAAATAATAACCAGTAACTGATATTCAGAAATAATGATTACCACTTCAGAGAACCGCATTCGGGCTAATGCTTCACTGAGACGAATCAAACTCTCTATTTGTCTAGCAGTTGCTGTTATGACCTGTCCACCAAGCAGAAATGTATTAGGGGCTTCTCGCTATTCAAAAGGACTAGAGCATAATGAAACAAAGATGCTACCTTCTTTCTGCTCCCAGGGCTATTCCCTCTTTTCCTCATCTCAACATAGCCACGAGTTAGCTCTTCCGCAGCTTCATCAGATAACTGTGGCTGAATATACTTCCTTGCATAGCTTATGTAGGAAACTAATGTCTGCAGATCCAAGACCTCGAGCTCCTCTAACTGCACAACAGGATGAATGCACAACTAATTAGCTAAGAGAAGTATTGCACTTGTTAAATTGTTGGTCATTATCTATTTCATAGAAAAAATAAAAGAAATTCAAGTATCAAGTATAAAGGTTGAGTCAGATATCTTACATTTGGATTCTCAAAATGCAACGAAACAATATGCTTTGCCAGGCGCCTATCAGTTTGTTCATCCGCCTTGTCCAAGATAAGATAAATCAGGTCAAATCTGCATATTAAATTGTGACAAGAGTTAACATTTCCATGTCACTCATTCACTTGAAACGTGCAACCATTCAGTTAGTTACCTTGAAAGTAGTGTTGGGGCTAAGTGTATGTTGTCAATTACAGAAAGCCTTGGGTTGTATCGTGATTCGGTAGGATTGGCACATGCCAGGACAGATGTCCTCGCATTTAAAGATGCAATTATTCCAGCCTTCGCAATGGATACTGTCTGCTGTTCCATCACCTACATTAATTAATTGCAAAAGGACTTTAGCTTACATGGATAATCATATTTTGGCATGCAAATAATGTACAAAATTTTCAGCAAACCAGACCTCGTGTAACATGCTTGGGCATTATCAGACATCTTATCAAACTCATCTATGCAACAAACACCTTTGTCACTCAAAACAAGTGCTCCACTTTCTAGAACCTGAAAAAGGTAAACAAGGTCATGGTTGAGATCATGGGAGCGATTCAATAAGATGGAAAAGAAAACAAAGCCATAATGTGAACTTAATGGCACACATACAGTTTCGCCAGTCTCAGGATCTTTGGTAACATAAGCAGTCAGACCAACAGCAGAACTTCCTCTACCACTTGTATAGATACCACGAGGAGACAGTTTATGCATGTACTGGAGAAGCTGGGATTTACTCGTTCCAGGATCACCCACAAGTAAAATATTGATGTCACCCCGGAAGCTAGCTCCAGAAGGAAGCTTCAAGGGATTGCCGTCGAAAAGCTGGACACAGAACAGTTTACAGTATGCTATGGTTAGCAATGACACAAACTTTTCAAAAGAACATCTTAATATTCCATGAAGTTACCTGGCAAAGGAGACCTCTTTTAACATCATCCAACTCCCATATGTTTGGAGCTAATGATCTAGTCAATCTGTCATAGATATCAGGCAACTTCGAAAGCTCTTTTAGTTTCTCAACCTGCAGTACCAAAAAAAAAAGAGGGTTACTAAGAATGCAGCAGAAAACATAGAAGAAAGATTTGGGTACCAAAAAACACTAACAATCCAGCACACACCATTGAAGAAAGGTATGGGTACTGAAAAATACCTTATCACTAAGAAAATCCTCTTCAGTAGATTTGCTAGCATTAGAACTATCAATATCCATGGTGTCCTCCACATGAAGCCTAGACTTGTCTGTCTTCTTTATGTGAAGGCAATCAATATATGTCTGAATGAAGAAGGAATACCATTAGACAATACTGATATACAAGATTTAATCCCGTTGTGCTAAGAGGAAATTCAAATATGAGAATGCAATAAAACTCTATATTTTTAACCTTGAATATAGATTTCACTGTCCTTTGAGTTGGTCCAACTCTAATACTCATAGCCCTGTATATTCCAGTTATCTATAATAGAAGCAAAATAAGTAAATTTAACAATTTGCTTAAACAAGAACCATATGCCAAGATTTAAGGTACTGATCACCAAGAAAGTTCCAATTCTAACCTCAACCCTGTCTCCAGGCTTTCCAGCATCAACGAGCTTATCATGCATCAAAACACTAACTGTATGTGGAGTGCCACCTTCTGGTATCTCATCTGGTGTTTCCTGCAACTTTATGATCTGCTTGTCTGAAAATCTAGTCATGCAAAAAAAAATGTTAAATTCAACATGATTTTGATTCTGTTAAGAGTATACTAGCAAAGACAAAAATGGTGACAAGTAGGTACAGCTACCTGCATCGATTGTGCACTAGGGTCATAGAATTTGTGGCTTTACATTGTTCTTTCTGACAAATGTGTGGCTCAGTTACTCTCCCTGAGTAAGGCAATACACACTATATTAGCTTTACATTGACAAAAACAATACAAACAGACGAACTTAAATGGTCCACATATGGCATGCACATCTTTCTATCAATATGGAGTTGAATATAAATTGTATCATATACTACTGGATGGTATGCATTTCAAAGCAGCTACTCCTTCAAGACAAAAAAAAACAAGGCCAAAGCTCTGCCATTATTCATTAAAGGGAATTAGGGGCTGTTTGGTTCATGGCCTCCCAAGCAGCTCAGACACTGGACAACGATCTGAGCCCCATGTACCCAAATCGGAAGCCTGGAGGAGCACCCTGCACTGGGCAAAGCTGTGTGGGGACCAACCAAACCAGTTTACCAAGTAACTACATTTCCCCAGATGAACTCACCAAGGACGAAAGCTAGTCACAATCACGAAAAACAAAGCACCCCAAACCTTGCATAGACTACAAAAACACTTTCTCACTGATGTCATTCTGCAATAAGTATGCTGAGCAGAAAGGAAAACTATCATATGGATTAATACATTATGAAGTGGCATCTTTACTTCGATGTGGTGTATATTTGGGAGCAAAGGGGATTCAGAGAAAAATTGCATGAGATTTATTTCCTGACAAGCAGCGTACATGGATAATTGAATTGAGCAACATCATGATTGTATAATACGGTACCTAAGAAATCGCTGAAGAACTGAAGGCACATTAATTTATGAACAGAATTTCGGAATTCATTGAAATAAGGTCACGAGTCAGAGTTGCATGAATCAAAATGTCTATTAGCATCATACCTCTATCAACCATGACGGGGTCTGAGTAGAAACCACAAACGAGGCAGCGGAACACAGCCTCCTTGAGCTCCGGTATGACCGAGCTGCATCGAATTATCATACCCTTGATGGATACCATCTTCTCAATATCTACAGCGAACAGGAAATAACTAATCAGATCACACAATGTACAGTCTAACTAAAGTTCGAACATTGTCACCTTGGCCAAAAGAAATAATATATTACCAGATGGGTTGAGATTCCTCAAGCAAATGGACGACTTGAGGTTGTAGATCCTGGTCTGGATGTGCTTCTCGAAGAGCGGCTCGATGCGCGCGACGAGGTCCATGAGCACGATGTCGAAGATGGCGAGCACCTCCAGCGGGTAGCGAACCATCTTGCTGTAGAGGTCTGGGTCGTGGTCAAACACGTCGTGCGCATCGACGTCGAGCGACTCCCCGCCCTCGAGCTCTAGGATGCGGTGGATGGCGCGCATGTACTTGCCCTCGTCCATGACCGGGTCAACGCGGCCGGCGTCGCGCGGGTCACGGAAGTGGCGCAGGAACCGGAGGATGGCGGCGTTGACGTCCTGCACGCTGATATTGGTGCCCCAGACGAAGACCGGGGTGGCGTCGACGCCGCCGCCGCCGTCGGTCTCGTCGTCCCCGGCTTCGGATGACGGCGGGATGTCATCGGTGGACATTGGGGTGGAGGGCGTCGGCGGGAACCGGCCAGCCCAGTTCTGACGCTGCTGCCGGGCGGCGCCAGCCCGGCCCTGGACGGCGTGCGGCGGCCGGGGTGTGGCGGCGTCTCGAACCCCCGAGGGAGGGGACGAAGCATAAGGGCTGGCGGAACCGCGGCGGCGCCGCCCACCGGAGCGGCGGGTGGACTGAGATGGGGAAGAGTTGGTGACCGGGAGCGGGCTCGACGGCCGACCATCTGGCGACGATGCGGCTGCAACAAAAACAGCAAAACGAGATTCCCCACACGGGAATCCAAATCTTATCAGGAAATCTGCAAGGAGATCAAATTAAATGTGATCCGCAGAGGAGGTAACGATTAGATCTTACAAGGTGGGAGCTGCCGCCGTCGTTAGAGGCCATGGCTTGGTCGCACAGAGAATCGCTCGGGAGGGCAGAGAGGGAGTGAGAGAGGAGGTGGTGGGATATGGGAAGGGTGGGATTGGGAAGGGGAGAGTAAAATGGCGGGAGGCGGAGGCGGAGGCGGCGGCGGCGGGAAGAGGAGAATGGCGGGAAAAGCGTCAGATTTCCCGCCTAGTGACGCCGGGGGACTTAATGGGCCGCGTTGCGTCCAGTCTGAGCCCACTCAGCCTTTATATTCTTGTGAGATTGGGTTTGCTCAAAAAAAAAATCTTGTGAGATTGGGCCCTATTCTTTAAATTGGGCTGGACCTATATATCCTCTTTAGGTGTAAAAAAATATATCCTCTTTAGGTATTACTCAATCCATCCCAAATTGTAAGACGTTTGACTTTTTTGACACCAAGTTTGACCACTCGTCTTATTCAAAAATTTGTGTAAAATATCACTTCTTTCGTCGTGGTTTGATTTATTAATAAAAATTCTTCAAGAATGACTTAAATTTGACTATATTTGCATAAATTTTTTGAATAAGACGAGTGGTCAAACTTGGGGCCAAAAAAGTCAAACGTCTTACAATTTGGGATGGAGGGAGTACTAGCAAAGATGCCCGTGGATTGCAGCGGAAAAAACTATCAAATGTATTAAGCTACAGATTTTTTTCTCATTGCAAAACACAAAAATATTTAGACATAAATATATTGTAACTTTAATTTTACAAACAACTAACTCAAGCTGACTTTAATTATAGCTTAGCATTTATCTTGTACATAGGCAGTATCAGCTAATAACATAATAAGAGCGTGTTTGGCTAGGATATGCTTGCGCTACTCCCTCGTCGAAGCCGGAGCGGCGGAGGTGCAAATCACGGCTTGCCTCCATACATTAAAAGGCTCGAGGCTCCTCCGTCGTCTTGAGCGTTGTCATACTGTCACCATTTGGTGCTGCTCCACTTGCCTTGTGAGCTAGGCCGGGCAGCACTAAAGGCGCCCTAAATATCTTTATATGTAATAACACTACATATTTATTAGGGAAAATTGTGTTTTTGCCTTTGTCCAATACTCCAATTGTGATTTTGCCCCTGTTATTTCAACGTTGTGTGTGTTTACCCTTGTTATTTTGAATTGAACTGTCCGTCTGCCCCTCTTTTGGATGTCCGTCAAATACCCAAGCAATAGATGGATTAAAAAAAATTGAAACCTAAAAAAGAAAAGGCCAAATGACCGTAGTGCCCCTTATCTCTTTCTGGCTCTTCCTCGACTCGTCCAAACACACGCCACCGAGAGCGGGTGGCGGTGCGATGCAGGCTCGTGTGGTGTAGGTCGACGTGGTGCTGCTGGCAGTCTGACCTAGGGCGTGTGATGATCTGTGCGTGAGGCGGGCTCAGTGCAAGTCTGCGTGTGGTGAAGTGGCGGCATGAAGACATCGAGCGGGAACAGCGGCGATGCTGGCGGCAGTCTTTGCGCAAGTTTAACGTGGACGAAGGCATCACCATGAGCGTCTTTGAGAGGAGGTTCGGGAGGAGCTACCACCGGCGTGGTCGGCGGCATTCATCCTAGACCCGCATTATACCTCATCAAAGGGCGCTGGTGGCGGTACCTCCCGCCGTTCAAGTACCGACGCCGGGCGGGGAGAAGGGCGTGGACGAGGTGATCACGAGGCTAGTGTCGCCGGAGATGGCACACTGGCGATGATGGAGCTGATGAAGTGGCGGTCGGAGGGCTGGACCCATTGAGTGCCGCAGGCGGTGCGGTGTCCGGCGCCCGACCCAATGACGGGGAAGATGAAGATCGCCAACAAGTAGAGCGATCGGCTCGTGTGGGGAGGCGTGCCTCAATGAGCTCAAGTCACTTTGGGCAAGGTGGTCGTGCGGCTCATCTTCCTCCACGCGATCGCGAGGGGTTCAGTGTGCGTCGGCGAAGACGCGTTGGCGTTCTTCTTCTAGAGTGCGGCTCGGGCGCCCGCCTCTTGTTCTTCTAGGCGCGAGATTGGCGTCAAGGTGCGCGAATAGCCGCGTGGTTGCAATCCCTACGTCCCGGCCACCGCCACCGCCTTTGCCGCGCTCCTCTCGGCTTGCCGCTCCCTCCCCATACGTCGCTAGATCCACGCGCACCTCCCGTCCACCGGTGGACACCAATGAGTTCCTCCTCGCCAGGCTCGCCGACGACCTCACGCGACGCCAGCGACGACGCATGCGAAGTGCTCGGACAGGATGCACCGGCGCTAAGCGAGGGCGACCGCCTACTCGTGGAACGCGCTCTTGCGCGGCACGTCCGCGGGGATCTGGCGCGGCGTGGCCCCCCACGCCGCAGCGTTCGGAGAGATGGCGTCGCGGGCCACGACAACGAGTAGTACACATCTGTTGCGTGCTCAAGTCCATCTCCCGGGCGCCGAGCCGTCGATGACCATGACCACTGACCACACATGCGATTGGGCTCACTTCACGTCTACTTCAAGTGCGAGGAAGGTGAAGCTCGCGGTGAGGGTGTTTGAGGAAATGCACTGAGAGGGGCGTGATCGCGTGGGGTCAGCCATTCTTTGGGTTCGCACACAAGGGGTGAAGAGGGAGGCCACGGAGCTAAGGTGCCATTCTTTGCCAATTTTTGATGTTTTTTCAATATTAAATTTGAGTTGAAATAATTGCTAGTTATGCCAAAAATATATTTGGCCAAATTTAATCATTTGTGTCAACATACAATAAAAAAGTCTAATTGCAAATTAGGGGTACAATCACAAATAGGTATAACAAACAAGGGTAAAATCACATGGGCATTTCTGTCCTTTTACATAAAATTTAACACCGTTAGGGGAGGATAACGGAGTAGGGGCAAACTGGTGCTTCGTTTTGAAATCACAGGGGTAAATTCACAAAGTCAAAAAAAAGGAGTAAAATCATAATTTTGATACAAAATAGGGGTAAAAATGCAAGAGCCCCTATTTATGATAAGCAATTAAGGCCATATTCGCTTCTCTTATGAGCCGTACTATTTCAGCGAAAAAAACAATATTTTTCTCTCACAATAAATCAGTGAACAGTACTTTCAGTCATGGCTTTTCAGCGAAGCGAACAGGGCCTAAGCATGTATCATATACAACGACATTGAAATTATGATATGAAAACAAATATGTATGGATGAAATGATTGTATTAAATCGACGGATGCATCTGTATGAGCTTCGTCCCAATCTAATACGTGATACACGGAGTTTGTAATATCCTTGAGCCAGGGCCCACGCAGAATGAAAAAAACACCAATGCTGGCTCATCTTCCCGATGACCATGGCCATGGTCGTGAGTGCAGGGCCATGGATGCTTCTCTCTTTTGCCTCCTATCGTAAGTCCCACCATCCCACATATGAGCAATGCAGTGGTACGAAGGAAGAGCACCGACCATAGCTCCCCCAGCTATTGGTCTTGGTCCCATAGCGCGAGTCTTTATTCTACACTGGAGATCAGTAACTGCAATAGTCCCCGGCCACCCTCGGGTGTTGGGTTCTTTAGTCGTTCCTAAAATTAATGTCACATCGAATATTTAGATACTAATTAATAAGGAGTATTAAATATAGATTAATTACAAAACCAATTACATAGATGGATGCTAATTTATGAGACGATTTTTTAAGCCTAATTAATATATCATTAGCACATGTTTACTGTAGCAACACGTTGTCAAATCATGAACTAATTATGCTTAAAAGATCCGTCTCGCAAATTAGTTGCAAGTTATGCAATTAATTTTATAATTAATCTATATATATATCTAAATATTTGATGTGACATAAATTTTAGGACTAAAAAACTTATACACGCCGTATAGGTGATGCGGCAACTCACTCAGGTGACACGGCGTGGCCTGCAGGTGTAGGCAAAGTGGCGTGGCAGACCGACGGCTCGATCCAGTGGAACGACGGCCCAGCTCTAGCGACCGTGTTACCAAGAAGTAGCACCAAGGCGACAGGTTCATATGGTATCTTATTTCATTGTGATCGTGTCGATTTATTTTCGATTTGCTCTTCTTGCACATGAGTATATATCGCTCTGGTCGATCATCTGTGTACTCGAAAAGGAAAAATAATTAAAAATAGAAAATATACGACTAAAAAGGAAAAAAATAATAAAAAACAGAAAAGAACCTAAACTGAGCTCCCGTTGGACACCGCTCGGTCGGATCTCCGTCCCCTACGGACGGGAGTTTCCCCGAATCCTTTTATTTATTTGTTTGTTTTTATTAGTCCGTTAATTAATGTCCGTGTTCAATTTTCTTATCTTCCTGTCCGTGTTGTAGTGGTGCCGTGTTGTGTCCGATTTCCTGTTGGCTTTGGAAGCGTTTTATTATCCGATTTCCACTATCCTCATAAGTAGTTAGGAAGGGCCAGACCAGAGAGACTTTAATGGGCCGTGTTGCGTCTAGTCCGAGCCCACTCAGCCTTTATATTCTTGTGAGATTGGATTTGCTCAAAAAAAATTCTTGTGAGATTGGGCCCTATTCTTTAAATTGGACTGGACCTATATATATCCTCTTTAGGTATAAAAAAATATATCCTCTTTAGGTATTATGTGTATATGACTATATATGAGGTTGTCCTAGCTTGGTCATTTAAATG